TGAACACCTCTGTCCACGTGTCTGTCGTTTCATTTTTCAATTGCGGCCCATTTTTCAATGTGATAAACCTTCGTAATCCACACATTTTATCAAAGTAAAGATATGTGATCCAAGAGGACTCCGTCCTGTCATATTGTGAATATGTGTGGTGGCAGAGGAGGAGGGAGGGAGGTAGGAGGAAGTGATATGAGAAAAAAGGAATGATGGCCCCAACCGAGTGATGAGGCAAATGAGGACGAACAGATGCTAGATTACATCTTTATATGACAGATACACACACACAGTTTGTTTGATGGTCGGCTTGTTTGTGTGGTTCAGAGTGTGTGTGCGTGTGGGTGTGTGTGTGCTTGACAGGATGAGGTGTCCTGTCTGTCTGTAACAGGATGTGATAATTAACCTTTTTCCTGCTGAGCGGAGCTATTAAAGCTAAGGCTTTAAACACGTTTTTATCACAAACACAACACATTACACAACGTAGGTTGTTTAGAGCTGTTGAACACAACCAGGGACATTCTGCAGTAAGCCAGTTGTTATAGAGGTTATTATGCCTATCCATGTCTATTTTTATTTTTGAATCTTGCCATCCATTAGTTGTTAAACAAGTTGGTCTAGGTGGAGCCAATTTTACCTGCTTTAAATACTGTGTAGCTGGTTATTAAACTGGGAACTGGGAAAAGGTTATAGAGTGGTGCAGGAACGAGTCCTAAAACCCGGAAGTGAGTTAGCATTTTACCACTTCCGGTTCCCTCGTCTCAGAGTCAATGTTTTATTTTAACTAGTTTTTGGAAAATAGCTCTAAATAAGGTCTGTGGTTGACACAAATTTAAGAGACAGATCATGTTTTTTTCTACGACATTAAATACATCAGCAGTGGCCCCACTGGTGATTTTTGAAGAGTTGATGTGTCTAAAAAACGATGGTTGTTAACATGTGACTGAAAAGGACTACAGAAGTTGTCGAGGACGTTGTACATCATTACGTGGAACACGTAAACACTCCCGCTAAGTTTGTTTGCCCCTTTTCTGCTTGAAAGCAAGTACCTGCGCTCTTGCAAACTGTTAAAACAAACGCTTCAACTTCAATCTGTATCTTTTAATATCGATCTTAAGTTGGCGTGACGTTGAAGTCGTGCGACCCTGCTGTGCCCGGCTATAGTTCGTTTATAGCATAACGTTAGCATTTTGCTTCTGGCGATTAGATATATGATTCAAAAATTATCAAAGTAGGGTAGACATGTGGAGATTATCCAGCTGAACAAAACGTGCATTTATCAAACAGGTTTATTTTCCACAGATCTTATTTTTTACAATATTCCAAAATCCTATGGAGAAATCCCGTTGCTTTTCTGTCGAGGGAACCCTTGCGCAGCTTACTTCCGGGTCGGCCTACAAAAATACATCATCACTGCACCACTCTATTGACTTAAATAATAAAATATAATTTTGCTTTGGTGCTCAAGGTCGTACAATAAGTACATCATAACTATACCTAGGTAGATACATTTAAATGTACTGAGTAACCTTCAACCACTGCTAACAGAAATGCACATGCACAGAAACATAAACAAAAGTTAGATTCTCAATAGAGCCAACGTGGCAGATGGGCCAGCAATAGAGTAATATGACTTTGTGCCCCGAGTAGGTCTCCAGCAGCAACGGCCAGCCAAACTTAGCCACTAATGAGGCTCTACACACAGTCCCACCGAGCCTACTCCAAACACTAGGAAGCAGACACAAGGAAGGAGACAGAGACTGTAGACGCATGCGCACGCACACACACTGGCAGACAAGCACACATACATCAAAGAAATGTTTAAATCTGAAGCACAACCTTGGGCACTAAAGCGAACCATAAGGGGCACATTAGCATGGCATGTGTTTGGTAAAAGCCTTGCAGATACAATTGTGGTGCACTTTTATGTTTTAACTTCTTTGGCATCCTTTTCTACTAATCCTTGGTTCTGAGGTAGGTGTGGGTGATTTGGACTAAATTCAGCTATAATTACAGTATCACAGCTAAATTGATATGTGGCAGGATTTCATATTAAAATGCAAGTTTAACAATCTTTTTGAGCCAAACGTTTTTAATTGCTGTAGCAAACTTATATTAAATTTTTTTATGAATGTATGCAGTTATAACTATACAGTAAACAATTCAAAATAACCTTTAAAGGTCTCCTATTATGCTATTTTTAGGCATATATTATTTGTCTCAGATACATAAAAATATATAAAAAACATGTCTATGATGTGTTTGGCTCAAAATACCAAACAGATCATGCATTTTAGAAATCCCTCATATCCCTCTATTCCAGCCCTGTTATGGCGCATTTAGTGGAAATGCGCCATAACAGGGCTGGAATAGAGGGATATGAGGGATTTCTAAAATGCATGATCTGTTTGGTAGGGCCTCGCACGGCTTAGTACGGTATAGTTAGGCCTTGGTAGACCAGGCTCACTTTATGCTGCGTTTCCATTACAGTTTTGGAACTGGGGTAGTAACTATAGTAACGCAGTGTAGGCGGAGCTGTGACGCCATCTTCAATGCGAAACACAAAGCCAACATCAGCCGTTAGCTGTTAGCCCTCAGAGCTCACAGCTCCTCATGTCTGTTCAGAAACTAGACAAAAGTTAAACAAGTACAAACCTCAGACTGTCTGTGTCGTGGCGAATACAGTCGCTGGTTTATTTATGTCTGTATAGGCCGTTGTTGTGAGTGTGGACAGTCGGAGCATATACAACGTTAGCTTAGCCAATCTCCATTCAGAAAACACGCATTTTAAAAGGTTGTTCGCCTGCCGTCTGTCTGCAGACTTGTCAAAGCATTAATTCATGGTTTTTACTAACCGGTATCAGTATGTTGTTACTTCGGCAGCATTTTGAAAGGTGTATTACAATTCAATCACTGTCAAATATGTTCATTTTGTTGTAGTTGCCAGCGATTCTCTCACTAGTGTAGCATACTCAGCCCGGTTGTTGGCCCGGAAAGAACCTCGATTCTGGAGTGCCAGAAAACTATGAAAAAGTACCCGCTAGCCGGAACTGCAGGTTTGGGGTCCTTAGCTTGAAAAAAAAAAAAAAGAGGAGGGGAGCGAATGCCTGCTCAGATTTCTACCGGAGATAAAGCTAAATGCTGCCGTGATTAAATGCCATATCATGTTCCAAACCACATCAAGAATTTTTCTGAAACAGTATGGAGCTCAAATGCTTTTTCTCTTGTGGGTTTACCACAAGGTGAGTTCCTTTTTTTATTTCCTGCTTTTGTACACATACTCTCTCCAGTAGCCCTCCAGTAGCCCTCAACTCAGTCAGAACTATGGCGATACTGTTAGCGTTAGCATAGAAAGCCAAGAACACACAATATGTACACAAGACAACTGTGAAATTATTCAGTCAGATAATTTTTTGTTGTTGTTGTCGAAACTAACATCACATGTCTATCCCCTGCACCAAGCTAGCACAAACACAACTTAACCAGTCTGTCCAACCCAGTCTCACGGCATTTCGTGTTATAGTCACGAAATGTAATCTATTGATTCGTGTTCACCAACACGATTTTCCCCTTTTTTTCGTGTCACACAGAACTATTTTAAATTAGCTTGCTAATGTAACACAGACCATATTACTTCCAAAACAGTCGGTCATTGTTTCTGATAGCAACTTTCTGATAGGGCCGTGGGTCCACATTTCCGATATTACGTGATTTACGTCATATTGGACGCAAATCTGGATCAGCTCCGTTGTACCCCCGTTTTCAGAGATTTGGGTGCGGAGGAAAAGAGAGGGGGTTTTATTTTCTGATCCTGCGTAAGTTCCCTGACACACAGGGGACACATATTTATGTATAAAATACATAACAAAGTGCATTTTGCATGATAGGTCCCCTTTAAATACCTTTATTATTATTTTTTACACTAACATTTTAATAAAAACTAACAATATTATTTGTCTTCTATTATATTTCAGATTGTTGTTATGCTGTCTGTTTTAGGCGTTCTTGTATCATGGAGGTGGAAGGCCTTTAAAACATAACGTTTTGTAATCATATAAAAAACAAAAGAAAAACATGTTTATTTACAGATTGGCTGTTATTTGAAGCTCCATGGAGGAAATTAGGGGTTATTTAATGTTTTTCACAGCACGATAGCCAAAGCTGAGCCACTGAGCTCTAAAATGAAAAATATTTCTTATCAAATCACAAAGATGATATAAAAAAGAAAAGCACTGCATGCACTCACAAGATGTGCCCATGCTCACACTGATACACTGCAGTCAGATAATAACTGCATGCCAAACACAAGGTCAGGCCAAGTTGTACGGCTGTAGCACATTTCATTTTCTTCTGAGAAGTATTGTGAGTCTGCTGATATTATTACAGAGCACCCGAGTCTGAAAGTAATACGTTTGAGATATACTAAGGCTAAAACCTGTAATCCACAAATAAACAATAACCGTGGCATTGCCTTTTAAAAACTATAAAGCACGTTGTTTTTTACCCTTTTTTTTTTTTTTTGCAAACAGACCCGGTTATGACTAACAGCTTGTGACAGGATGATTCACTTCCAAGGCAGCGTGGAAGAGGATTTACTGTATATTATTACTCTTTGTGTGTACTGCGCAGAAGGACTACACAGCGCTTTATATATCTTACTGATTTAGAGCATTTAATAACTAATGGAAGGATGTAAATGTATCACATATGGTGTATTAGACCCATATAGATTCTCCTATTGGCTGCTGGTTCAGTCCTGTGCATTTGTGATCATGGCTTTACCAGGGGAGTGCAGTGGGAGTGTTACCCAGAGTGTCTCTTTGTTATTTTAACACAATGTTATTGTGTTTCAGTGAGCAGGATCCTGAGCCAAATACATTTTGAGGACGCAGATTGTTCCGTGATACACATACTGTGCCAAGTGCTGATGGCATGCTGTGTTTTATGGGAAGAAAATCAGAGAAAGAAAGAACAAGAGAGGGAAAACATGAAATTACACTCTCTCTTACCTTAAGAAGCACTTCAACACGTCAAACTGCAAAGAGAAGGAGCGAAAGAAGGGGAGAGACAGAGGAGAGGGAGAGGAACGAGAGGAAAAGAGAGAAAAGAGATTCAGATTAGTTTACCGTTGAGAGCAGTAGCGGAACAACTTTCAAGACACTTCACAGTAGAATATGCGAGGAAAAACAAAAGAGATTTCAAAGTTCTAGAGTCGATGTCATCTCACACACAGGCATGTAGCTGCAATGTATTTCCTCTTTGCCCATAGAAGTACCACTATTACTACACAGGCCGTTCAGCAGGGTGAAAACAAAAAACATTATATTTTCTTCTATTCTATTATTAGATAGAATAAAAGGTGTAATATAATTCCCAAGTCATTCCTTCACAGATTTTCAAAAAATACATTCAAACATTTTATATAATGACAGTAGTCACAGAAATACATTGACTTATTGCTCAATGCAAATTACATGAGCTAAGATTAGTGCATCAATTAATACAAAAATAAAAACATTAAATTGCAACCATTCATATTTTATACAGTAAACATTCATGAAATGGATCGAAATGTGTATTTGTTCATAACTTTAAACCAGTCCAGGTGGTTGTTGACAGCTTTGAATGGAAATGTGCAGTAGATCTACAAGAGGAAGCAAAGCGAAGCACTTTCTGCTGCACTGAATACCATTTGACAGTTTCATCATTTAAAAACAAATCATAAAAGAGGCTGCTCTTAAATCTGCTTTTGAGTGGGCTGTTTTAAGAGAGAACTTGCAGAGTTTAAATAAACAAACCAGGGAAAAAAACATTCTCGAAATAGCCCTCATGGATTTGCTGAATCTCTGGAACCTTTTCAATATGTATTCCTCTCCTCCCTTAACTCTGCAGCACCAGACTTTATCAGACCCCAATAGAGCGGAGCAGGATGTGTGGAGATGGTACTGGGTTTTTATCCCTTGCCAACCAGTGACCTACTGTACTTCACACTACTATGCTCTCCTGGCTGCGATATAGGCGGCCTTGGAACGAGACAATGCAAACACCCTGAAGCTGCCAGTATGCTCATCAGAAGGGCTTGTCGGATGGTCGAATAGCTTCTGACACCCCTCCCCCGACATCTCTATTCAGTGTCAAAAAGGTGGGGGCTGTGTCCAACTACTTTGGTTTCTTTCCAAAACTGTCATTCACACCCACTTCACGCCCTGATTGGCCAACTCTGTGCAGGTGAGAAAAGAGCCATGGTTACAAATTAGTCATTTTTTGTCACTGCAACACTATGAATGTCTTCCAGGCGACACTGTTTACCATTATCCGTGAGTTGAACAGATATCACACCTCTGCCCTTTCTGGATAACTGCCAGCTTTTCAACCTGCCCTCCCGTGTGGCCGTTCATTCAGGACAACTATAAACACGCTTGATAAGGACAATGTATGAATTAGTTTTGATTGAACGACGTACAAATACCCAAACACACACCCATAACACACTGTCAGAAATAATTTAAGTGCTTTTTGATTGGCAGATGTAAAATGCTGTCAGACATACTGTGGAGGTTGAGCTCACATGAAAAACAATGATCACTCAACTTGGTTTCTGAAAAGTTCCCCAAGATAACATTTAGCTATTTTACTTGAACTTAAATACACTCTAAATTGAAGTAAAGGCCAAGCAACCAAAGGATTTTAAATGGGAAAAATAGCAGGATGAAGGAGGCCGTCCCCAAAATGTTACCATGTGAATTTTTCTGAGGATTTATTTTGTGGCACAACTTGTAGAGATATAATAAAAGGTATACAATACAGCTAATGTATTTGGTACGGTAATGGGAATGAATGCATTGTTTAAATCTCAGATGGTTACGGAATACTATTTGCATATACTATATTTAGGCTTTTTTTTTCAGGGACAGAGGAGATAAAGTAATTGAAAATGGCAATAGCAAGGGGCATGAGATACAGAAAATAATTGTAGATCAAAATGAACAAGATCCATGGCCTGCATTAAACTGGTCACACAAGCGACTGAACCAGGCCACCATGGTGTTCAAGACATTGATATTTTCGCTTTTTGTTAGCACTTTAGGACAGCAATTAATTCATGTATTGCCTTTGAGGGATCATGTTGGGTTGTTGCACTCTCACTAGCAGTGCACATTTGGTATTGGTATTTTAGCATGGAGCTTCAGAATGCATTCTTCAACAAAAAAAGAGATGAAACAGCAGCAACATCCTCATCAACACCTAACCTGTCAAAGACAATTAGTCTCAACTGTAACAATACTTTGGTAAAACTATTTCAGAGAAAGGTGCTGACAGCTAAAAAAGTGTTAGGGTTAAAAAAGTGTTTTTTTAAAGTGACGGGAAAATTAGACAATCTTACACATCTGTGTCATCACCACCTTTTATTGTACCATGGGATTATTTTTGTAGTTTTGGAAGCATCTTTATACTAGGTGAAGGTGCTATTTCATTATTATTTACATAATGGTAATTATTTTTTTAAATGATCATAGGGGCATATTACAAATCCAAGTTATCTTGCTGTGTAAATGTGTGGCTTGAACACAATTTAGATTAAGTCTGTAATTAAGCTAAGAACAAATAACAAGACACTATATCCATATGCTCTAGACAAGATCTGACACCCGTGAATGCACAAAGAAATTAAAACCCCAATACCCACACACACACACCAAACACACACACAACACACACACACACACACACACACACACACACACACACACACACACACACACACACACACACACACACACACACACACACACACACACACACACACACACACACACACACACCACACACACACACACACACACACACACACACCACACACACACACACACACACACACACACACACACACACACACACACACACACACAGACACACACACAGACACGTAAACACACTGCTATCAGAGTGTTTCATTAGTGAGGAGCAGATAGATTACCCTCCCAAAGGAGACATTGACCAAGAGGCCATTGATCTACTGAGCTAAGCCAATCCGTGTGTGTGTGTGTGTGCTAAAATGTGAAAGTCTAAGTGCTTGCATGTGAAAAGTAGCCTACTGATGGAGTCTTTAAGTTGTTAGAGTAAGCAAGTGCAGTAAATCTAATCCAGTCGTGTTTAATGAAGAGAGAAAGAAGCAGGCAGTTGACACACTCATTACGTCCAATTACTCTTTCCAATCACTGCCATTTCACTCACTCACCAGATAGAGAGGGAGTGGGAGAGACAGAGAATCAGCATTATTTATGTCTTGGCAACCCACCATGGGAAAGAGATTGATAGTACTTGAATGATAAATAAAAAAACATGTATTCCTCTTATGGAATGACAATATGGTGCATACTGTAGGAGGTATCTAATATAATTTGCTCTCATTCAACCCCATCAGAGTATACTGAAGTGTAAATCAATCTGTTTAAAGCTGTAATTACTCAATTACACAGCCTTATTGATGGTATAATAAAGATTGTTGGGCTCAGGGGTTGTAATCATGACTTATGGTAATAATACAATGACAAAACCATATTTCCCATAATGAGCTCGTTGTAAACAGTAACAATCACAAACAAAAACAAGAACATTGCTATTACTGGTGACATATTGTCTGCCTAAATGTGTGTGTGTGTCCCAGTTACATGTGTGGGACTTGTAATTAGCTCCCCAGCTCGTTCTCTTACATTGGTTGTGAAGGTAATTGGGGCTTTTGGACACTCGCTCTCAATCTCTGTCAGTGTGAGTGTGTGTGTGTGTGTGTGTGTGTGTGTGTGTGTGTGTGTGTGTGTGTGTGTGTGTGTGTGTGCGTGTGTTTGTGTGACTGTGTGTGTGTGTGTGTGTGTGTGTGTGCGTGTGTTTGTGTGACTGTGTGTGTGTGTGTGTGTGTGTGTGTGTGTGTGCGTGTGTTTGTGTGACTGTGTGTGTGTGTGTTTGTGTAGTGTCTGTATTCTGGAGAATGGCCAAACCATTACTGTGTGCTCAGCCTGCTCTAAAGCAGCTTGTGATTCATTAGTAATGGCTCCATTTGCAAACTAAATGAGTGTTTGAGTGGCGAACGGCAACGTGTGTGATAATTGTGTCCACTTGCTTTACAAGCCTCCTTTTTCTTTTTAGTAAAACATGTAAAACCCACTGCCTCTCTCTCTCTCTCTCTCTCAACACACACAAACAGAATTATGTTGAAAATGTAAAGTATGTTTGAGGTGTGTTTACTCAGCCAGCACAAGAAGCTCATGTGGATATAATGAAGTCACTGTGTCATTAATTACTGGTTTACACCTGCTCATCTCAGCTAATTAAAAATGCTGACACAAACATGTATGCAAACACACACTCTCACATGCACACTTCATACAATCACACGTTTGCAGTTGTGCACACGCAGTAACATATATTCCATCACACTCCGGCTCAAGCACGAACTTCCCGACAAGTTTTCTTACACCGACGAGTCAAAAATACATTCTCATTTTCACTTTGATGAAGGTGAGATGTCACAGCTAAACACAGCACGTTTTCGAGGTTCTCTCTCTCCCCCTCTCCCTTCGTCTCTCATACAAACACGTCTTCGTACACCTCCTTCCTTTATCACCCCATCATTCTTCCGTCCTCACACTCCTTCGTTCCTGCACGCATTCGGTTCCCACTGTCTCTCGGTACACTGTACAGTCTATTCCCTGCTTCACTCACACTATCTCCCGGTCTTTAAACTCTCTCTCAGTGTATGTGTGTGAGTCCCAGTATGTGTCTGTGTCTCCTCCCAGCCCATTTTCTCAACAAAGGCCACAGCTGCTGCCGGTATGCTGAATAAAAGATGACAGAGCCATAATATCAGGAGATTACCAGCTAACGAAACAATGATTTTGTCCAATTTAAATAGCGACATCAGTTGCATCACAAGCAATTCACATGTCAACTGTGATATCATGATGTTTGTGCAGATGAAAACAGTTTTCATTTGGTGGAAGAGAGACTCCCTGACTCTGTCTCTCTCCCCCTTTTGTT